GTTTATGACGTATTGTTGGTCACCCTGCAAGAGAATCTTCTGTATAAAGCACAATTCTCCTCAGTTTGGACTACGTGAAAGAACAAGCAAAAGCAATGAGGCCTCCAAACCTTTTTACTGAAGGGTACTTCAGTGATATGATGTCAAAACAAGAATGATTGGTACTGTAGTCTTCATATCTGGTGGGAAATCCAGAGTAATTCCTTCTTAAATGTGGAGCTAGAAGACTAAAGCCTTCAAGTTTCAATCTAAGGCTAAAAAGAAGTCTTTTGTAGGATGAAAAATAATAATAATAAATAGTTTTGTGGATTAAAATAGGCATTTAGCCAAAACACACTGGTCCCATACAGATTTTCATTTTGGTGCAGTGAAAATCAAAGGCTGTTGTGATGTCATGAAGAGAACTAGCTAGGACTTGAACACACACAACACAAATGAGCCTTCAAAGTGGCTTGTATAAACCCTCAATCTAAACAAAAGCAATATTTTCTTTTCAGGGAAGCCTCTCCAATCCCCCTCATGTTCAAACAGTAGTAATAGTTTTTCAGAGAAGTCATGGGAGCATAAATAGAAATAGTTTGATAAGCAAGTGACAGACATCATATCACACTAGTGGTGACAGTAGAATTCATTCCACATACAAAGGATTTTACATTAAAGTTACCGTGCTCTTCTAGAGCTGACTGTATGCTGGCATTAACAACTGCAACTTTTCCACTCTTTTAATGATGACAATACGCTGGTCACAGTGTATAATCCCCTTCTCTGCTGTTAGCAGACCAGACACAAGAAAAACCTCCATAACATGTGCTATGGGCAGAAAAGAATCTGTGAGCTGCTCCCTCCCTTACCCATACTATTTTCAAATCAAAACCAATAACTAGGAAAGTATGGGAAGACAGAGGTTGAGATTAATGTTTCTCCATGCTTTATAGCTTTATAAAGCTCCTTTTAAAACATTCAGGAAAATACTGTGGTAACTGACATGAAATGACAGTAATCTGTCACTATTTCACATTTCCCACTAGACTGATTTAAATTGTTATTTATGAACCTTATACTTCAATGGTCACTTTGATGACTAAACCATAAATTAGCATGTAAATTTGATTTCACAGTAACAACAAATTGTCAGCAAGCTGGGATATTATTTAATTTCTATTGACATGCAATGAAAAAGTCAGCAATACCAGATGTGCTATATTATAATAAATCCCCAAACTTACAAAAATGCACACTACATCTAATATTTGCTTCATTGCTTTTGTGTTTAAAAACCAAAACAATTTATATAATATATGTTTTAGGGTTGGTTTTAAATATAAACCCATTATTTTATGTCAGTTCACTTCATTAATTAAATTGTTCAATTAAAATAAGACTGAAAATAAACAATCAAGATGTTAGAGAAATGTGAGTCACGCAAAAACGGTGTTTTTCATGGAACAGATGATTGTAAGTGTGACACAGAATGGAAGAAACTCTAGGTCTGTTGTACTTTCACCCTAATTTATATGTGTACTTTAGGACAAAGCAGAGACTTGTTTCTTAATATTTAGAGCTTGCTTTATAGATGAAGTGCTGACAGCATTGATGTATATAATTTGTTCCACAATAAAACACTGACAATGACTTTTGCTTATTTAGAAATACATTTTTCATTTGATAGAGACTAATTCAGCTTCAGTTATCCCAAATATCAACATTCAAAGCCCCCCACAGCTCAGACATCTCTGAAATTCACTTGCTAAACTCATTTCCTTCTATTAGATTATGTTTTTAAAGAGAAGCCTCACCACATACCATCTGCTATTATTTTTACTCCAATAAAAATATATCTGTATATAGATACATATACACCCTTTGACAGTCAGACTTAGAGAGATTCTATCTTGTCTGAAAGAAGAAAAAAATTAAAAGGGTGTCCAAAGAAATGCTTAGATAAAATTAACACTTCCAAAATAGTGAAAATATTCCATATCTGACAAGAATTTCCCCTTCCATTTCTACAAAATCCCCTGCTTTTTAAATATATTTTTCCCTGAAATTGTACACAGAGTGATCTCAAATGCAATCGAATTAAAGACGTTTTTTGAATCAGCAGGTTTGCTTAGAACATGAAAGAAACCCCATTGGAGAGTAAAAGCTCTTAAAAGCTATAGACTTAGTAACTGATTAAGGTCTTCCTATAGCAAATGTAAGGTGAAGATAGTCAAGACAAATTAAAGAACAAAATTGAGAAACAGACAAATGGTTTTGTAGAAGAGAAAAATATAGATCTCTAAATGATCTTGCTGATTTACAATGCATTTAAGTTATATGTATCAAACCATTACAAATTAAGACTATTTTAAAATTTAAATATAAAGAGGGAAATTTTCAAATGTGAAAATCCAAACTGAAAATCAGTGGGAGTTGAGTGCCTAAGTGTAAAGCTACGATTTAGTTATGGAAGTCGCTGCCCATGGGGTCAGGGAGCTGTGAGGTACCCCTGCCGCCTCTGGCAGCCCCTGGAGCTCCAAGCCGCCGTAAGTGGCAGGGTACCCCGCAGTTCCCGGCTGCCATGGGCAGCAGGGGCCCCTGGAGCTGCCGGTGGTGGGGGAACTCCCGCAGCTCCCGGCCGCCACGGGCAGCGCAGGAACCCCTGAGTTCCCAGCCGCCGCAGGCAGCGGAGAACCCCTGCAGCTCCTGGCTGACACCAGAGGTGGGGCACCCCACAGATCCTGGCCCCCACAGGCAGTGTGGGATCCCCCGGAGCTGCAGGCGGCAGGGATACCCCGCAGCCCCTGCCCTGCTTCAGGCAGTATGGGGACCTTCAGATCCCCATTTTATCAGCGATATTTTTAAATAAAAGTCACGGACAGGTCACAGCTTCCGTGAATTTTTCTTTTTTGCCTGTGGCCTGTCTGTGACTTTTATTTAAAAATATCTGTGACAAAATCTTCGCCTTAACTATATGCCCTTTGTGCCTTTGAAAATTTCCCCCGACAGGTGTAATTGTGTCTTTATACGTCTGAGCCATTTTCACCGGGATTTGCATGTTCATAGCTGAAGGCAAAATATGGCCCTAGAGGATTATTTCTAGATTGACAATTACGAGATCATCTCTTATTAAATTCATTTTTGTGTGTGAATACTTCAGAGTAACAAGGCGAACAAAATGAATGGATTGAAATGGTTCTGTTGATGTCATGACAACAGTCATTATTGTGTTTTGAATAAACTTTAAACACAAATGTTTTCATGGATCCAAACAAAGACTGAATGGTCATCTTGTGACAATGTCGCTTAAAAAATATGACAACTGTATTTGCTAGTGGCTACCTGGTGCCTATTATTTTATAAACAGGAACCAAACGAGATAGTGGGAATGTAGAACAGAGATTAACCTAACTTGCTACTGTTATCTCCCTGCTCCTTTTTTCTTTAGGCATCAAAACAACAAAAGCACATATTTGAAGGACCCAACCAATTTTGTGTGTTCTTTCACCAGCTAGGTTAGAAAAAGTGCTTTCTTCCTTTCTCCACCATGTCAACTGACATGAAATAAGATCCAAGACCCAATTCTGCAAAGCCCCATTGAGATTTTGGAGGACTGGTCACATAAATATTATATGGTTGAAGCACAGGACTCAGAATAAGGAGAGCAGGGTTTTATTCCAAGCTCTGTCACAGACATACTGTGATACCTTGGACCAAATCACTTAGGACCAAATTTTCCCAAGCATGGCCTCCAAATATAATTGCCTCAATTTGAGAATATTGAACTTGACACAGGCAGGACCTGAGCACCAACAGCTCCACTTAGGTTAATGGGACCAGTGAAAGCTAGGTCATAGGTGTGTCCAGTTGGATACCTAAATGTTTAGGCATCCAAAATTAGAAGACACCTATGAATTTGAATCATTTGCGGCTTGTTAGTGCCAAACAGCAGGTCATATGAGTGCGACCTCCTCCCCCACCAAAGAACAAACCTTCTTTCAACAAATAATATCAGAGGTATTCTTCTGCTGTTATTGAATGGTTAATGGTTGACTCTACTTAGCAAGCGGTCTTCCAGCTTTTTAATTTAGAGCTGTCCTTTAGCTCCATAAAGCCTGCAGCCTCAGACCCTCCCTGACGTGGGAGAAATAAGTTTGAAGAACAATCTCAGCTTTCGCTTGAAATAAAAATCTTTCTAGCCCCTTTCCTTGCAAAGAAAGCCTACAAAATATAAATAAATGTAAAATAATCATGAGGATTGAAAGAAAATGGTAAGCTAGGCTCTATTTCTGAAGTAAGAGGCTAGAGGGAACTTACAGATACAACTTCTTATCATACATTATGTATAAAATTAATCAGTTAAGTTTGATGTGTTTTCCAAGGAATCATCTAGCTACCCTCCTTAGCCCTGTGCACAGTGGTGTGAACACAGTGGACAGGAATCAATGATATCTGGGGTGCAAACAGGCAAAAAATATTTTCACAAACTTATTAAAAAATGTTAAGGCTGGATATGCTTCTGCTTCTACACCATACTGGACTGTGCCTCAAATTGGGCAAAAATAGAGTAAAGGAGGCTTAAGCTACTGGCACTCCCCTGAGCATATTAATATGCCAGTGATAGGGGAAGGAGGAAAAGAAGGGATGAGGAGATGGACATAAGAGAGCAAGAGAAAACACAACACAGGGAAAAGCAAAGGAAAGACAAAACACATGGCAGCAGAGGACTGAAGAGCAGAAAAAAGAGGGACAGTAAAGGAGTTTAGAGAATAGTATGTAGAATCCCATTAGTACTAATGGGACTCATGCTTAAATCTTTCCAATCAAGGAGAACTGAATACTGTGCCAGTCACTCACTCCCTTACTCTGCCTCCCCACCATTTGTGAACAATAATACTTGTACAGGATCTCTCTTTCCCTTCCGTAAACTGGCATGGGACTTACATCCTTTAGGGGAGAACATGTTATTCAGCATTTTACAATTCTTAAGCAAAAGAGATGAACTAAAGTATGCTTACCTGTCGATGAATAATCTCTAGGTTTGTTCTTGCTTTATTCACTAGTGTCTGTATCTCTTCTGAATCCTTTAAATGTTTGTTTTCTCTAAAGGCATCTCTTATCCTTCTGATGGCATATGTTCTAGACATTGTTAAAAAAAAAGCATCTGTAAGTGTATGAGTTTTGACATCAAAACAAGTTTTAAAGTGTTTGGCTACTGTAGTAAAATGCTGTTGAGGATATTAACAAACAGTTGTACACGCTAATGGCCCATTTATCTGGTTCAAACTTTATATTCTCTCTCTCTGTTCAGGTTAAATCCTAACATGCCCTAGTCAATACTATAAAGCAGTGGTCAGGGCCTTGAACTGTAAAACCAGCTTCACTAGAACTTAATGTGGAAGAACTTTGTGCTTCATATACTTCAATTTTCTTCATGTGTACATCACCTCTGAGATGTATAAACATTTCTCTAGGCCAACAGACTCGAATGTTATTGTAGATTATAAACATATGGTGGAATCACAAACAAACTGTAGAATTACTCCTCTACACACCCTTACCTAATGTGTGGCAAGAAAGATGGTGGTTTCATCACTGGAAACAGAATAATTAACAGTACCAAGAGAAACATAGAAAGCCCCCGTGTTGTCTAAACTTTCTTCACCAAGGCAGGTTTTTTGGTTTTTTTTTGGTGTTTTTTTAAAAAGTTAAGTACAACTACCTGGAGGGTCTCATTACATGCTCTCTGGTTACTTTTTTTTAATACCAAAGGTCTCCTTGTAACAATACGAGTAGCCAGAAGAAAAGTCCAATCATTATTGCTCTGCCTGTTATTGCTATTAAGATGCAGCACTGCTTGGCACTACAAAGAAAAAGCCTTAGTACAAGTAGCACAACAGCACTACTTCTGCTGGATGCTAGTTATCCTGGTGCTCTGTAGCACTCATATTTCAATCTCCTCTTTTCTTGTCATATGAACCACAAGAGTGATTTGAATCAGTGCACTGATTCCTTGTTCCTGGCATTCCAAGGGTCATCAGGCAAAATGCTAACCACTGCATACATCAATTTGTAACCTGAAAGTCACCAAAGGTGAGCTGCTGAATCAGCCATTCAAAAAGGTGTTTTATTTTTCTCAATGTGCATTTTGCTTTCCACTCGAGGAACCGTGCCCTTAGTCCCACTAACAGGTGGGAAAGAGGATGTGGCCTCCACCCTTGCAAGGCAACACAGAAAAATGTGCAAAACTTTAGGTCCCAAGGGCCATCTGAAACACAGATCAGAATTCTCTCACCATATTCAAAAGCCAATAAATAATCTTTGTTCAGTCTGCAATAAATCCCTTTGCAAACACTAGATGAATTTCATTTTTGTTAAAAGACACTCTCAATTGATCAGTAGATATTTTTATGAGAGGCCAGATAATAGAAGTATTTGGTGCATGCTGATCCTTTTCAGATATCTTTGTAATTCACACTATTATTGTCTATCACCATTTAAAATGCCTCACACCAATAAACATATTTATCTCAAACTTAAACATTTTGCACAGAAAGTAAAAAACAATGAAAACCACTCCAATAGCTTAATATTTTCAAACGTTACTTTTCAATCTCATAAAAAAATTAAATGCAAGCGTCAGGTCCAACATAAAACTGTTGGAAATCTGATCATTAACCCCTCCCTCCACCCTATATATATATATATATATCTCAAAAAGAATATTCTTAAGAAAAAAGATTAACAACCTGCTTCACTACCATACCATTAGATGGTGCCATCCAGCTCTTAATGCAGTTTCCATGAGGTAAGTGACATATTTTTGTAAGAGCTCATAAATAATACATTTCAATCACAGGAACCAGGGGTGGTTATGGAGTGCTACCCTGCTGCCACAAACCAGCAGATGGTGTATGCTTTTAATTAGGGCCTGTTCACCTATAATGTTACATGGATGTGTGTGTAGTTAATAGAATTTATTAAATATGGAAACTCATTCTTATTTGCAGCTGGTGCCCTAGAAAGATTTTGAGGGGAAGCTGCTTAATTATTCTGGGGCAGACATAACCAAAAAATGTTGACATTTAGTTTAATTTTGTTGCTTGATAATGAATGACTGGATAAGGAAAATGCTCTTCAGCCAGGGTGCATGTGTATTTAAATATAATCTATTTCTTAAAAGGAAAAAAAAAATTCAGTGGTTTTCTGGGAATGGTTGTTTCCTGGAAGATATACAACCCTAACATACACTTTCTATCTTTTTTAAAAAAAACTGGTGTTCGTTATCCAGCTTTATTCTGCAAACACTCATGTGAGTAACTCTACTAAGGTGAGTAGCCCCCCTGATTTTAATGGGACTAATTACATGCATGTCTGTAGGTTTGGCCCCAGATTGCTTTTGCTCTTTTATATGTATGATGGATTAATTATCCATTTTCTAGTTTTTCACTCAATACACCAAACACAGTTGTTTAGAAAGAAAATTGATGTATTTAAGAACTGGCACAACAATTCACATTTACTGTCTAAACACTGTGTATGGCAAGAAACAAACATGTATGGGCAGCAGACTTGACTAAAGGATTACCCGTTGTTATCTTTTCCTTCTCTAATTTCTATAAGCCTGTACATCTATAATATGCCATTTTATATCCCAGTCCAGCAAAGACTTACGGACATGCTTAACTGTAAGCATGTGAGTAGTTCCAATTAATCAACTGGACTATTCACGTGCTTAAAATTAAACATGTACTTAATCTTTTGCAAAATTGGGGCATAAACGTGCAAATACCTGTAGTAGGAAGACAAAATATTGCTGCAATTTACTATTATTAAAACTTTCTATACATCCTTGGATGGAAAGTGCTATATTTTAGTGCACTCTACAAAAATTAAAGTTAGCGTCACAATATCTCTGTAAGTACTGAGGAAACAGAAGCAGAGAGTTCAAGTGACTAGCCTTAAGTCACACATGAAGTCTGTGGCAAAGCCAGGGAGAGAACCTGTATCTCCTAACATCCAACCCTGAATGTTAACCGTAAGCTCACCCTCTCTTCCTTTTTGGGAGGTATAAGGTAAACAGTTTCTAAACCCAACCCATTCTACTCTTCCAGGATTTTTTTTTTTTTAAAAAAACAAAAGGAAGGAAGAAGAAAAAGTTAACATATTTTAGCCCTTCTCAATGTAACATCTTCTACAAAAGATAAAAACTGATTGTTTTGTACAGCCTCAGTTCTGAATCTTTATCCTCTTCTCATGTTTCTAGATCTTAACAATGCTCACACAAAAATCCACCAGTAACACTTTGACTGCAGTACCTCTGAACAACTGAGCCCTCTTAAAATTATAGCAACACACATATTGTACGTAGCAAGAAACAAGGATATGCAGAAGCATGCACAGCATACGTCCTCTCTTGCACACATTTGTTTTTCTCTTGAGAATAGCTGCTCCGAGGAAATCCCTTTGTTTGGTTCATAGTGAGTTGCAGACTGACTACTAATTCTCATGATTACATTGATTCTCAGTCCAAGCAGAGTAACACAGCACAAATTCTTCTGTATTCTCATATGGTACAGGATTTACAAGTGAGAGGGTAGAGTATCTGAATATCCTTTAATAAATAATAATAAAAATAAACTCATCCAGGCATAATAGTTATTTGCAGATTAATACCTTACACCTTTTGCTCCTGTTGATTCACATGGTTCTTGCAGCATGTGCTATATTGTTAGCCTGAGCAAGAAGGTTTCAGAAATGACACAGTTGCTGCAACAAAAATAGCAAGCTAACCTGCAGTGCAAACTCTTGCATTAAAATTATCATAATGGATGTTTGAAACTATCACAACAAATTAATGCAGAAGGCCAGTGGAACAAGAGACAAAAAATATGGGGGTGGAGGAGTGGGAGGGGGAAGAGTGAATGGGAGGAAGGCAGAATTTGTCCACAGAAACTGCTGAGTCTATTCTAGGTAAATTACACAAGGACAGAATTTTAATTCTCTTGGAATATTTTTAACCTAATATTATTATTGCAAATACCATCTAAGCCAGGGGTGGCCAACCTGTGGCTTCGGAGCCACATGCGGCTCTTCAGAAGTTAATATGCGACTCCTTGTATAGACACCGACTCTGGGGCTGGAGCTACAGGTGTCAACTTTCCAATGTGCCAGGGGGGTGCTCACTGCTCAACCCCTGGCTCTGCCACAGGTTCTACCCCCACTCCATACCTTCCCGCCCCATCCCCTGAGCCTGCAGTGCCCTTGCCCCTCCCCCCCCCAGAGCCTCCTGCATGCCACGAAACAGCTGATCGGGAGGGAAGGGGAGGCGCTGATGTGGGTGGGAGGTGCTGGAAGCGGGGGAGGAGGGAGGGAGCTGATGGGGGGCTGCTGACTTATTACTGTGGCTCTTTGGCAATGACATTGGTAAATTCTGGCTCCTTCTCAGGCTCAGGTTGGCCACCCCTGATCTAAGCTCTCCCATCAACATAGCACTGTCTACCCAGGGGGTGGGTGGGGGAAGGCTGGTATAACTGTGTCGCTCAGGAGTGTGGATTTTTACAACCGTGAGCAATGTAGTTATACTGACATAACTTTGTAGTGAAGACCAGGGCAAAGACAGCTTCACATGAGGCGGAAATTGCACAGTCTCCATCCAAATTTTTTTTTTTTTGCTGTTCAAATGGTTTCCAAGCAACCATCATGCTGACATTCCAATTCTTGTACTTAGGCACCACTCCTGCAAAACCCCAATCCTGCAAAGTAAGTGCAATTCAACATCTGAGATTACCCAAATCCATTTTGATTAAACTTCACTCTGCTGACACTTTGTTACAAAATGTGATTTTTCACAATATAAACCAATTTAGCAGAATAAAAGGGCACATTTCTGGATCCATAGTTTCAAAGAACTGAAGCATCCCGATCCAGACTTGCTTTTATTATTATTATTATTATTATTTTTTAACTTATGCAAAGACGCAGTGTTTGAAACTATTTTTTAAAAAAAGTCACATCAAACAATTGAAGAAAGAACGGCTTGCTTATTTCTATGGTGTTCAATGTCAAACTCTGTGTAGTGGTTCATGACTGTCAAGAAGCAGGGCAGAGACCCGAAACTGGTGTGTGTTCTATAATTA